TTGCAGCTTTTTCTCTTTCTTTTTCTCTTTTTGTTAGGGGACCAGAAAGGGGTTGGGGGGGTCTGTTGACATTCTTGCACTGTATGCTTTGCGCTCGACCAGGCCTTGGCTCGGCTCCATATCCCCTCTCTACCCACTCTCACTTCTTTGACTCCTACCCCCTCCTCCTGCTGAACCAGCCCCCTCCAAGCCCTTTCAACTCTCCTTGATTGCTCCCCCCCACCCCCGTACACCACTTTTGCCAGCAACTCTTCAACACGGCCCCGCCCTCGCTCGCTCCTTTTCCTATCACCTTCCCTAATCCGTACTCATGTATCGCCCTGAACTCGCTGCGGCCCACCCTTTTCCATCCCCTCTTCCGCCCCAGCTTGTGGCAGCAGGTCCAGCCTCTGTGACACAGATGCAAGCGGTTGCTGTGGGCACTCAACACGGGAACAAAGCATTGGCGGGGGCCCTTCTGTTGCGCCGGGTTTGTGCCGTTTCTGTGCATAAGTACATTCACATGAGAGCTAGAGATAAGAGGGGAAGCAGAGACGGTAGAGTGCAGCCGGTTACTAAAGTCTGGTTTCAAGAGGTTGTTTAAGTTGTACTTTTATTTTGGCAAAAGTGTGTTTCATTTCTCTTACATGGGAACATCCTAAAGCAGGATCACGCTTGCATGAACGAACAGCGATGTTCACCACCCGCTACACAAGCTCTTTTCATCTGTTTAGTTGCTTATATAAACTCATTTCTGTGTAATTCAGGTATAAACTAGCTTTCTTGTTCTGACAGTGGAAGTGAACAAATCACTAAGCAGCCAAAAGTCATACTTGATGATAATAAAGCCAACACGTGTGCACACTTGTTTTCATCCTGTTTTAGTGTCAGCTATACTGTTAGAGTCAGAGATATGCAGCCCCGCATATCAGGTGATGATAACCCACTGGCTCATCCACTGCCTGTTTAAATCAACAGAAGAAGACAAAACGTATCAGTAGCTCATGTTGGATCACAGGTCTGCACTGCACATACAACCACAAACCTTCCATTACGGATCCAGTCCACATAGATCTCTAGAGACCATGGGATGGGTGCACTTTCATTTCATGCAGCTGATAGAGCAGAATCAAAGGGTTGTGGATAAAACTCAAAGAATTCACCAGAACTGCATGCACAAGAATAAGCATGAGAGTTTCCCCAAATCTGACTGAATAGAAGCAGAGATGTTGTTGTTCCTCCTATGCTATGATTGTTCCTGTCTGAATTACATTTTGCTGATTGATGTACTTACATCAGACGGACACTGGTGTATCATCTAGCCACCATAGACTGTCCAAATGCACTTTTTAGCATACTGAACCTTACAGGTCGTTATGGTTAAGGGGTTGCTATCACATGAGGTAGATCAGGTGCATATTACAGGTGAGCAGACAACAATTCCCAATTGTATGTCAGGAGCTTTTTGCTGACCTTGAGGCGTACAGAACATGCATATCGTGGAACAAAGTGGTGATCGTTAAGAGGCTGGGGATCTCTCACCAGAAATTTATCAGTGGCTTCCTTAAATCAAGCCTCATTGTTAATGCTTTCTTATGCTGCTGGTGATTTGCATCATGGCAAATCACCATTATATTTTGTCGATTTATTTTAATGTGGTTCCCGTTAATTCTTGGTGGACCAAACTTACAGAAAACTTGTAATCCTGCCTTATACCAGGCGCTTTGCTTAACATTATTTAGTGGTGTTTCACCTGCCGTCTGTCTCCTACACAGACATTTCTGTGGGTGGTGTAGCAGGTAGAGGAGGTCACATGACACAGACGGTCAGAGAGCAGCAGCAGTCTCTGTTGTACTATCGACACCGGTGTAAAGGGCAAAATCACCTGGATTGTGAAAAAAAAAAAACACACCAGATTTTAAGATTTAAAAATAATGCTCACGGCCTTCAAAGTTGTGCACATAAAAATGACACAATCATTACTTCTGCTGGTGACTTCCAACACTATTGACCTAAAAATGCCTCGATCGTTCCAGCCTGATTCGAGGCATCAGCCTGCGATGTCACTAACCTTAGCAGAAAGACTTAAGAAACCTCCTTGCATGGAGCAATTTTGCAGCTGACATCGCCACTGAGCCTCACCTGCTACCTTTAACTTCATTTTTTTCCCCTCTTAACTATATTTGAGGGGAGAGCAAGGTTTGCTGGAGGGAGAAATGAGATGCCTCAACACTTCACTGCCCTTCTCTCGCAATCGACTCCCCCCCTACACACACACACCTGGGATGGCCATTTCATTTTGGAGTGGAGCAAATGGAAAGGTGATCTTAATCTATCCTGTTTCCTGCTACCTCCCTGCCCCCCCCTGCCCCCAACATCTCTATCTCCCCACACACAGCACCTCACGTCGCTGATGGACAACTCACTGGCGGTTGCCTGAGCCTGCCACTAGCACACGCAAAAAAATGTGATACATAACACTGGACATGCACTGGTTTGTCGTCCTGTAGAAATTGTATCCATTTCAGCCTTTTTTCCTATTTCAGTTTGTGTGATTTGGGATTCTCTGCAGGCAGAAATGATTCTTTTACAAGAGCAAAAGCTGTTGATTTCAAGATATTCGGGCCTCCTCTGTTACCTCGTTACGCAGTGTTGGGTTTCTCTTTACTGCTGTTAGCTCTTTGCAGTCACAAGCAGAGCTATGCAACTGCCATTGATTTCCTATGAATGGCCCTCTGCAGGCCAGTTCATTAGGAAGGTGCTTCAACGCCACTGGATTAACTGGACTTTCAGGCGCTAATGGAAACCATGTTGCTTTCAGGAAATGAACATTGGTGATTTGACTAAATAGGTTGAACATACAGCGCTAACATAAAAGCAAAAACTTTTTTTCTGCTACTGAAAATAAGTTTTGTGAAGTTTCCCTTTTAGAAAAAAAATATAAAAACATGTTCTTCTGATGCCGTGAAAAACACTTTTAATCGGAGAAAAACAAATCCCACTTTCCGCCTGCCTGAACACACTCCCCCTTTTTATTTTCTCCTCAACACATGGCTTAAGGCTGGACTCAGGCTGCTGCTCCACCCGCCAACTGTTACCATGGCAACGCTATCTGGGCCTACCAAGACCTGAAGCCGAAGGACATCCTGGACAACAACACAATAGCGGCACAGCCAGGGTACCTGAGGGAGTTAGATGTGAGAGGCCAGCTCTGGTGGGGGTTTGAAGGGGCGGAGGGGGCGGGGGGGCGCTGCGGATTGAGGGAGTAAATCCGCCCTCTTTCTCTACCTCCCCTCACGCACAAACGGTCAGGATTAGCCTCCAGCTTGAAAATCTGAGAAGAAAAGGAACAATCTGTGGCTCTTGATTTTTTTTTGCTGCAACAGTTCTTTGGGATGTCTTGGATGGCAAGAAATGACTTAAAAAATGTAAAAGACTACCAGAAGTTTCACAAATGTGAGACGTTCAGTAGTAACAGGTGCTGTCCGGTGTACGTCAGCAGATGAAGAAGATGCTTTAATTCTGCGGGGACTTGGAAGATGGTCAGAGGAAGATAGATGGAGCCAAGTCTGTCGCAATAAGCAACGCGTCAATTCGCTGCATGATAAATGAAAGTGAACTCAATAATTTCCATTTGCGTGATTGTTTGTTGTTCTTGTGTCTCTTTCTATCCAAGGCTGGATGACAAAGGGCTTCAGTCCGGTGCATTGATCTCAACTAGCCCCTTTTTCGAAAGGCAATTTTGTTTACTTCAGTATCCATTTTTATTTATTATTTCTTGTGTTTTGTTTATTAATTTTGTATGTTTAAAATGTCCTCCTGTTTTAATGTTAAATTGTTTGTTAGAAATTTGTTTTAATTTATTTTCTGACAGACTGTACTTGTATTTTTATGCCACTACCATTATATTACTTGAAAATGGGTCTCCAAACAACAGTATTATTGTTTATTGCAATAACTTATGAGAAAATGTATCATGCAGCAAAAATTGTTATCATGACAGGCCTAGATGGAGCTAAGTCCCAACCCCCTCAGACACAATTAATCAGTGTTCAGTCTGAGACACAGTAGAGTGGAGAGTTAGAGTCTGAGAATGCTTGAAAGCATTTATCACTTTCCCTCCACTTCACCATTCTGCAGTCATTTGTGTTGGACTTCTACTTGAAATCGCGAGAAAACGCCAGGAGTTTAACGCACGAAAATCTCCGATGCAACGCGCCACATGCAACCAGCTTAAACACTCTATCACTAGCTTTACACTTGTGATCAAAATGATCTCGTTTGCTGCCTATTCCAAAGGCCGAGCCGAGACGCAAACTCTTGTCTGGTGGTGCCAGCAGCGGAGAGTAATAGAGATGTTTAGAGTCTATTTGTCTTGCTTGCATTCCTCCATGTAGCGCTGCTAAAATAATAAGAGGGAGGGTTACCTCAGGTCGGCTCCAACTGAGGCGATACAGCGCATGCATTGTTGTCATTGGCTCCATCTGAGTATCCCTCTTAAAGCCGCAGCGTGGAACTGAGGAGGTGGTTTGGGCCGCCTGCTTTAAATAACGTGACTAGGCAGAAGGGATGAAGTGATGTGCAAATATTATGATTGTGTGTATTATGCTTATGAGTTTTACAAAAGAAAGTTTTCATTGTATGTAGCCGTTGTTTTCTTTATCTTAGTGGACTCTGCTTCTGTAGTTTTTTTTTGTTGTTTTTTTTAGATGATGTCAGGGCATGTGTTTGTATTCCAAAAATGTCTGGAGAGGTTTGTAATCAGCGTTATTGCATAAGCCTCACACCAGCAAACAAGGACATAAGGAAAGCCACGCTGCGTACGTACCGGCTTTCCACAATTTGTGCTCATCTTTGGTGTAATGACTTTCAACCCGAAGTCATTCCTATTTAAAAACGTGCCCATTCGCCACTGGGTGCAGGCACTACATTGTAGATGTCCATGTGTGAATAACTGAGTGTGGGACCTGCTTAGTCACGCCAAAACACCCGTCTTACACCTCCTCTGTGTTCCTTCGCAGGTAGCCTAAGAAACAGGATGTTAATGCTTGACGGAATGCCTGCAGTCCGAGTCAAAGCCGAGCCCCTGGAATCGGAACAAGGGGTAAGAGAGCAGTTATTTTCCAGACAATTCCTCTTTTTCTTTTTTTTTTTTCTTCTTCTTGTTCTTGTTCTTCTTCTTCTTCTCTGCTTTCCTTTTCTTCTCTTCCTCCTCCTGGCAATGGGCTGATAATCACTCCCAGGCCTGAGCTAGTGAGTTTGGGGGCTACGAGGAGTGGTTGGGGAGCATGGTGGTAGGCAGAGGGAAGAGAGACGAACCATGGGGAGAGGAGGAGAGCCACAGCTGGAGCAGGAATGCAGTGGGGTCTTTTTGGGAGGTGACTGGGGCCAACAGAGTCCATGCAAGCAGGCAGGGGGGCGGGGGGGTGGATTTGGGTGGGGGATCATTGCACAGATGTAGTCACTGCTCTGGGGAGGAGGGTTAGCATGGGAAACTCCAAATCTTATCTGGCTTTGTTTGTTCCTGCATCTTTACGTCGTTCAGTTTCCCTTCATTCCTCTTTTGCCAGGCTCTCTTACAAACACATGAATAATATTTGTTTCTCACATGGAATTGCACACAAACCTTACAAGTTCTACTTCTTTCTTTTTAAAGGTATATTTAGATATTTATTTGCGGTTGGATTTGGACGTATATTACTTAAAGAAATCTATCTCTCTGTCTGCATTATTACCTAATGCAAATTTGTCCCACAGAGACGGTTCTTTTCACTAAAAGCCTTCCAAGTGATGACGGTGATGAAGTTTGTGAATGTTCTACACCTTTTCTATAATCCTTAAATGTCAAACTTTAGAATTTTAAAGCATGATCTATGCATAGATAGTAAAATAAGTCAGTAATGTAAAACCGATGGCCTGAAAAAGAGGCTTTTTCCATTTGGCATGTAGTATGACTCCCTTATGCACAATTTACTCCACCTAAATGTTTCCTGTAACTGTTGATCAGTCCTGGGTATCAGCTTGAAAGAATTTGAGCTCATTCATCCATGCAGACCCCCTTCCAGTCATAACACGAATTGCTCACATCAGCTTACTCCCCAGCATTTCTGTGGGACTAAGTTCGGGTAAGCTAACCGGTAATTTCAAAACATTAATGGTATTTCTTGCCTCTTGGGTTGGTGACTTTTGTGTGTTTGGGTCAACGGCTGCATTTCCTTTGACCGTAAAATTGTGCAAGTTGGAATTACAAAAATAAATGATTAATGGAAATAAATAAGGCAATTTTTGAAAATACCCAACGTTTTTCGGTAAGTTTTTGCATTAGGATGAGGTGTTTTTCAAACTGTATCAAAATTAGGGTATTTCACAAAACTGCAATTTCAACACTTTTTTTGTATCAAATGAGTCATGTGATTAACAACTGGATATTACTACTAGCGGAAAAAACAAAGAAGGCAACAGGAAGTGGTAGGAAAATGATAGAGCGGCATGCTTTTTACTGACATATTGTGTGAACAATGTGATTTTAATGGACACACAGCAACGACTTTAGCGGAATATCAACAACGTTTTGCACACATTTGCAATGGAAACAGATATTGCCTTGCTGTTTTACAAACTTCTTAACTAGATTCAGATACTGGCACAGTTTTGTTCTACCAAAACCTCCTGGAGAAAATGCAGCAAATCAAACGCCAACCACAATACCAACCATGTCCTCTTTGCAAAACTAACATGTCTTAAACAATAAAAGTTTTATTAGGTACTCATCTGTCCAGAAAATTCTTCCAGCATTGCCTGGGAGTCCTTGTCTGATTTTCCAACAACTGCAAATGGACAACAATGATGTTTTCTAGAAAACTTTGTTTCCTTCTGCCCTACCATGGATATATCTGAAAGATAATTGAGGATTTTTAAAATGAATTTATGTTATGTAAGCTACAACCTACCCATTGTCGACAGCTCTCTTTTCGTATCTTTATTATTTTTAGATCCAGACTGCTTGGATCTGGAAGCTGACCCTAATAGCTGGTCTGAGACCAAAACAGACTCCCTGAACCTTTTAATTGAGATCAGGTTTAGATCGGGTGATTATTAATAAAAAAGCATTACAATTATTTAAACAGGAAATTAAGGTAGGCGGAATGACACCACTAGTAATCTTCTAATGAACATTCACTGGAGAAAGAAAATGTAAAGCATATCCGGTTAAAGTAGATGTCTGATTTAGGGGTATAGATGTAAAAGACTTAAACGACATAGTATTTTAAGTAATTAAAAAAAAAAACTTTCTAAGTTCTCTTTTCAGTGTCTGTTTCCGACAGGAAGATCATTGGTGTCGCACCACTTCCTATCTTTAGTTCCTGTGCAAGTAATAATCTTCTTGAAAGTCTGGACTTTCACTGGTTTAAGACATCTAATAAGTTACCTACTGGTGAAATGGTAACTCCTTAAAATGTTTCAACCAAAAATATTCTGAGCTTCCACTTTAAGCGTTCCTGCCATGTTGGTCCTAACATTAATGTTAGCTGCTAGTGATGCTAGGACTTTCATAGATTTCCCCACTCTCTCAACAAAACCAATTTGGTACCTTCCTAATAGGAAGCTCATATTGAAATGGCCGTCTAAATCATTCAAAATACTTACTTTGCCAACATTTTTTCCGCTTTTGGCTCATAAAATAGCAATGACAGATCAACTATCACTGATCCAAGTGATAGTTGAACCAGTGATAGCTAACTTAATTAGCTCACTTAAGCTAATTAAGTGAGGAAACAATAACAAGACTAACAGACTCCTCAACCACAACCATCAATCTAGTTTTAGCCACTTAGGGTTTCTCTTTTTATCTCTTGTAATAATTATGACAAAATATGCTCTTAGCAACAATATTAAAGTGTCTGAGGATCCCTATGGGGAGGGGGCAACCCTAACTTAGGGAACCACTGGGATGGAGAACAAAGAAAATCTGCTGATGGGTATATTATGCAGAAATTCTATCACAGGTTTTCAGCTGCCAAGGTACATATTGTGTTATTTCTCAGCATGTACTGCCGTTAGTTCTGCTTTTATGGCTCACATACTCTACAGTATCCATGCTCTCTGCTCTGACATACCTAGAAATGAAGTGGTCTTGTTATTGTGAAGCTGTTGCTTGGAAACCAAGCCTGTGTGGCTCTGTGTTGCTGCCATAGCTGTGTTCAGTGGGCGCACACCACTTAATATTTGTAATCGTGATAAATTAGTGTTCAGACTTGATCGATTTACCTTCATAAAATATCAATCTGGAGACAGAGACTGGTGCCTGTCTCCAGGAGTCTTTGGGCGACAGGCGAGGCACACCTCGGACAGGTTGCCAGTCCATCACAGGGTATATAAATGATATTTTTACTCTTGATTTATAACCAACAGATTTCTATGGAAGAACAGTGTAGCGCCAGACGAATGCCGTCTTCTGATAAACCCTCGGGTTATCGCAGATTTGGAGGGAAATTGTTTGGCTGCAGGGGTCCCTATTGTTGATAAGAAATTCATCTGCCTCCCCACATCTGAGAAGTTGAGAAAAGGCTGCAGCAGGTGGTTGCTTTTCTGGGTGTCCTGCTCTCAGCTGTGGCTCAAGGCTTCGAGAGCTGTGCTCCTGCGTTGGTACCTAATACCTGGGGTTTGAAGTAATTCTCCTTGTAGTGATGTCAGTCACAGACAGGATGTGAGCGCCGCAGCCCACACAGCTTTGAAGTGCTCCGAGATCCAATCTCGCCCTAACAGACTGAGCTTCCCCTTTAGATGGCAGACACAGACAGTTCAGACTGCTGCAGAAATGTGGTCTTCATTTGAGTGGCACGGGGCCAAGCCTTTGCTGGAAATGGTCTGCCTCGTTAGACGATTCGCCTGCAAGGGGCTGGAAAATCTGCCCGACTAACCGGTATCCCCTAATAAAGACAATGCGTGAGGACAGAGGCAGACGGGCAGGTTTGACGTATCTTCATGTGTGTGTCAGCGTGTGCGCAGGGCCGAGCTTTGCACTTGTGTGTATTTTGCATCTGTCAAATCGAGACTGGAGGTGGCTTCAGTTTTTCCATTTCTGTCGGTTGAGAGTTGTTTGTGAACCAAGCCCCAAAAAACCCAGTTTCTGGTTTGTGTAACACAGCATTGCTATTGTTTACATACACTATGTAAGTGACATGGAAAATGTTCTCAGTACTCGCCGTTGTTCAGTCTTTCATAACAGCAGAAACGACTCTAAACCTCGAGAATAAGTAGTTAACGAAAGAAATAAACAGCCAGACTTTGTTAGTCACGGTAGAGCCCCATTGGGAAGCAGGACGGACACTTTTTCAGAGAACCCAGTTGAATTTTAACATGCATGTTATTTGCTTGATTTCACTTAAACAGAGTTACGCTTGCATTGATTTTTTTTTCTCTCTTTCACTGCTTCACTTTATATAAGGCAAACTCAGCCTAAACTCAGCCTTGCCTAGTATGTCCATTTATGGTCCTAAACCAGCAATGTTTTTTTTTCCTTCTCATTTTAGTTCATGATTAACAAATTCAGCCTTCTGTCTTTCACTGTTTTATCTTTTTGAAGCAGCTTTATCCCCAAAACAGATAAGACTACATGGCATACAGTAGGCTAAGAAGATTCACCGCCAGCAAAGATTACCTGGGGAATTTGTTGGAGTTGGTCCTGTCAATTTGTACTTGTATTTGTAAAACAAATAAAATAGCCTCCAAAAAACACAACATTAATACCATAATGTTATTGATGGCAAACTGAAATCAGTTGACAATTGTAGTTCCTGCTAGGAAGGAAGTGAACAAAAGTGGAGACTCACTGATCACAAAGCTGTGGAGAATTTATGATTTGTGGTTTTTGTAAAGCTTTGACTTAGACCTATTTTACCCAGTTCTAGTTTTTGTAATGATCTAGGAATATGTGGGAGTAACATTCAAGGGGTTATTTTTTCTAATTTTCCTGCTGTTAATTATTATTTTACAAGCAGAGACAATGTCACACTGTGTGTGAGAGACCAGCCTTTGTAATAGGCTTTATTAGACTCTTATAAGAACTGTTAGTATAGTTAGCATTACGAAAACATCAACCATTATTTATACTCCCAAGGTTATGCAGACCCATACCCTAATTCAAAAAGTAGTCAGCATTTCCTAATCTAACATGTTTCCTGACAGGTAGACAGGATAAAGCTAATCAACTTTGCTGTATTACGTTCAACCTTCCCGTTAACTGCTAAAAGTCTTGCTCTCTCTCACAGCCTTATTGAAGCATTGTCACCTCTGACTGTTAGCAGGCAAATAATGTGTTAATTGACTGGGAAAAGATAATCCTGTTTAAAATTTTTGCTGACCAGCTGTTCAACGGTTAAAGCCAGTCAAGGTGAAAATTGTCTGATTCAAGTCATTAACCAATTTGAAACGAAAGCATTGAGATAAATTGTCATTGCGGAAACTTGGTGCTACCAAGATGGCGCCGTTGCAGCAGTTCTATAGTAATGACTTTTGCTGATTTTTTTTTTTGCCACCTTACTATCGTCATCACTGTATATGGATGGCCAGGCCAACCTGGGTGCTCATCCAGATCTGTTTGCCATAGTTTTAGTTGTTTTAAATTGTGTTATTAGTGCTCTGACAATTGATTACAAACCGGTTTATTGATTTGCTAATAGTCATATCCTGACTAGTTCATCTGCTTTATGTGAAGAGCATGTTCTCTGAACTTTCCCATTTTGAAAAGTGGTTGAAAGATATGGAGCCCATGTTATACTTGTAGCTTGGGGAAGCAGGGAGTCAGTGATTACTGATTAACAAAGGAAATTGAAAATGGTACAAATTGAATAAAATCCTTTAGTTTATTTATCTTTGAATATTTTTTTGTTGCCGGTATTTGCATAAACAATTATTTCTTAAAGTTGCATTTTTCTCCCCATTAGATAACTGCCCTCAAATTACAGGCTGGATTTTTCAAAGTTTTTGCATGTGAGATTAATGACTCTGGGCAATTCTAGTGAGGACTGTAATTTTTCCTCAGTACAGTGAAAATGTTGATATAATGTTGCAATAACTTCCTATAAATTAGTAGATATTTCAAAACAGCCCGACAGTCAGTCTTTCTGCATGTGATACAGTATTCACTCGCAGAGAGTATATTAATTACAGTTTTTCTAAAGTAAGTATGAAGAAAGTTCATTTGTAGAGTTTATTTACAGCTGAATTGTAGGTGACCTACAGCAAGTTGGGTCGTAATACTGGATCTGTAAGGCTGCCAACTGTCTCTCATTATATTCCTGTGAGACTGAACCAATAGCTCAAAACCCTGTTTCCATTTGTTTTTATTTATTTTAGTGGCCTCAGTTACACAAATTGCTTGTTTAAGAACTGCTTGAAGTTTTAGATGATTTCTAAAGCTTCATTTTAGCAGCTGTACTGTTACTAAGTACTTACAAATTCCTCCTATTGAAATTTAGGCTTGTGTCTGAAGTTGATCTAATTGTTAGGAGTGCCTTATTAAAAAGGGTGTTTGTTCTCTTCATTGATGTTCTGTTTTTTCTGAGAGCGACCTCTCAAAGGAAGAGTCTGCTCCACCCATTATAACTTAATAACTATTGGCTATAAATGGTCAACTCCTTCGGAGGAGCCTCTGACTGAACCGCACCGCTAGGAGAGAAGAAGTTCTGCATAGGAGAAGAAGAAATCTACTGTCTGATTTTAAGTTTAACTTCACTTAAGTTGTGCTTCTTGCAGAATAGCCTAACATAAAGTCAAGTAAATATGGTTCCATTTGGAAAGTGCGTTGTGGGTGGTAAATATGAACCAGACCGTCATGTACTCGGAATCTCGACCTGACAGCAGTGGCCCTGAGCTGAACCCCTCAAAGGTCCTGAGGCTATCGGAGGGCAGATTTCAGAGGGCACCATTTGTTTTACAACTTGGGACAAGTTATGCAGCAAGAAGCTCCAGCAATTCCTACCGGCTGAAAAGTGACTAGTGAAATATACAAATATGCACTACTAGTGCAGATCCTTGCAAACATATTCACACCTCTTGAACTTTTTCACATTTTATGACATTACAGTCACACACTTCAATGTATTTTATTGTGATTTTATGTCATTAGGCCAACAAAACTGCTACATAACTCGTAGTAAGTAGTGTACTCCATAGAAAAGGAAGCAAAGGATACACAGTTTTCAGCATTTGTTGACAACTGGGTAAATTTCCCTCAGATGTCACAATGCACTCTTTAATAAATAATCTGAAACATTAAGTATGTCAGGCTGCAAATCTACCCAAATATAGCTGCCCACGTAAAATGAAAGGCTGATAGATAGCATTGATGAGAAACGTTCCAGCAGGAAAATGACCTTATATATACACCCAGAACTAAAGTGTTTAAAAATCAAAGCATGCGTTGCAATGCCCCGATCAAAGACCTAACTCATATTAAGAACGTCGAATGCCACATCTGATGGCATTTGACAAAATCTAATGTTTGCTTGTTTCATAGTTGACGACTGTATGATGTTTTATGATATAAAGCACTTTGAACTGCCTTGTTGACTTGACATGAAAACTGTTGCAGACCACTGAGCTTCATTTATTAAACTAACAATAATTGGCAAAAGTTTTAATCTAATGATGTACAATGGCAGTGTAGACTTTCCCCAAAACACTTCTGCTATAATCCATCTTTATTAGATTTTATTTGTAAAAAGAAACAAACAAATCTCAAAGATGCCTTCTTTTTCTTCTAGTATCATGTAGAATCCTAATAAAATATATTAAAGTTTGTGATTTTAAGATGGTAAAATTTAGAAAAATGTCAATAGTTGTGCAAGTGAGTAATACGTAAAAATTGCAGACGCATCCACCAACGCCATCAAAAGGATGTGTAATTCACCACAAGAATAAGTCATAGCATTATCTACAAAGAAAGAAGCGTGAGTTTACAAAAAAAAAAAAAAAACATGCTCAAAATACTCAAGGCAAAGATTATGCTGCTTTTATAAAATTTTGAAAAGGTTTTTAGTTTGAGACGTTACACAGCTTCTATATCGAACAAAGTGACTCAAGGCTTTTAGTCGCATCAGACTTAGAGGAAATGAATGCGTTTCCTCACCAAAACTGTGATGCAAAAGGAGGGGCTAAGACGTCTGGAATTTTATAGGAACAAATAAAAACACAGTGGGCATTGCGCTCGGGTTAAAACCGTTCCCCGAAACAGCCGCGTCCCAATCTGCTCGGCGTTAAGTCAAAGATGTGCTGAGGGCTCCTTTGAGCCACCAGCGTCGGCCTTTGGAGGCCCTTCGCCTGAGAGACGCAGGGAGACGGTCAGGAAATTGAGCCCATATGATGTTTTTCCACAGTCGAAAAGGGGAGATTTAGGAGAGATACGTGGGTAGCCAAGAGAGCTGCATTTGAGTGGGAGTCATGGAAAACAGGAGGAAGAGGGAGAGAGCTCGGCCCACGCCAAGAGAAAAGAAAGACTAGAGGAGGCGAGCGTGAGCGACACTATCTTTCCTCTTGCATTTTATCTTGCTTGAGTTAATGCTGCTCCTTTCTATATAAATGTCACCGCATATCCCTCTTCTGACATCGCTATCGTGCTGAGTGATTATTTCTGGAGAGGGAATATCGGCAGAAACAATTATCTTTGACCCTAATTCGTTAATGTGCACCTTTTTTGGCCTCGCCGATGGGTGAGAGATTAGATTTCAGCTGGCTTTTTATGCCGCCGGTTTCGCTTGTTTGTTTTTTCCCTCCCCGTGTGTCACAGGTTAATGCATTTTTACGGCTCTGAAATAACAAAACTCTTAACGTCCTTTTTGTTTTTACTCCCACAGTCACCTAAAGTTCGCCCTTACTCTGCGATGGATGGCGTCCCCTTCTTCCTCAGCAGAGTAAAGTCGGAACCCCCCGAGGATCTGCTCGCCCATGACCTCCACTTCCACACGCAGACAGAACCTGTGGACCTGTCGATCAACAAGCCCCGCCCCTCCTCCTTGTCCACCACCGCAGCTAGCATAACCTCCTCGTCATCGCCCCCCCACAGATCCGCCTTCTCCCCATCTTCGCTGTCGTCCTCCTCGTCCTCCTCGTCTTCTCCGTCGGTTATCACCTCGGCTTCCTCGGTGCTCACGCCGGGACCCCTGGTAGCCCCCGGAAGCGGGGTGAGAGGTCAGCCCTATTTGCACATCCTGCAGTCTGTGCCGCCGCCTCCGTCCAGCCCCCTGAGCCTGCAGGGAGCCGGGAAGCTGGCCGGCCATGTTCACCGCATCCCAGTTGTGGTGCAGTCACTGCCCCTCATGTACACCACTGCAGTGCGATCGCCCTCCAGCCTCAACAACGCTATCATGCTACCTCTGCTGGAAGAGGCCAAAAGCAAGGGCAAAGGTGAGACCATGCTCTTAGGATTTACTACATATTCATGAGGAAGACTTTGTTCTTTTTGGAGTGTAGGAAAAAAAAAAGAATTCACTGTGGTTTTCTTGCAGTTATGTAATCAGAGACCCCAGAAAAAGAAAAAAAAACGAAAGAGAGTTTCAGATTTTGTGCTGCTACCTGACTATTAAATATTTGTCGACTTGGTAAAACTTTAATGCAGTGCAGTGTAGAAATTTTAAAGCATCCCTAATTTCTTTCCACTTTGCTTCCAAGAAGCAAACATCCTTGTAAACTTTTAGTACTGAGTCAATATAGGTTGAGTCTCGACCAGTTTCTTCAGGCTTTTTTAAAGTGCTTTCAAAGTTACGCGGTTCAACCTTGGCTGCTTTTTTCCCCTCAGTCGCAAAATTTAAAGCAATGTTGTTGCAGAAAATTTTGATTTGTTGCAATAAAGTCTCGCCTCATGGACGCGAATAAAAAAAGAAATGGTGACTCACTTAAGACTTTTGCATAAGAACGTCCTAACCTTTTCACAAAAGCTTCAACCAGCAGCTTTCAAAGCGACTACACCATTTGCTAAATTTTCAGAAGAGGCAGTTATATACGGTGTTGACCGTATATAAAAGTGCTTGTGGCAAAATGTTTGAAGAGCTTCAAAATAAATGAATGCGTTCTTGCAGTAGCGCGATCCCACACTGTATTTTTTTTTTAATCCTATTTTAACCTGTAGATATGCATTAAGTCTGTTGAACCGCCTCTCTGTTGATTTGGTCATATCTTTTGGATTATAATGCTGTTGATGAATCCAGTAATGACCCATATTCACATTCCCAGCCACCAGATTTCAATTTCAGATCGGTAAATTGCGCTCTAAAAAAGTTCCAAGGATCTTTGGAATACAAACAGGCCCACAGGATCACTGATCCTTTGCCATACTTGAAAGGGACAAGAGATGTTTTTTGTTTTTTTCTCACATGTTCATCCTTTGTTTTATAGCAGACCTTCCTGGAACGTTTAATGTTGAACAAATTTATTATTTTTAGTCCCATCTTACTGCCCCAATTAAAGTTCCAGCAGAGTTTAGCAAACTCCACGTTTTCGTTTGCTATGGTAGGTCAGAAAAGGGTGTCTTTTTTTTTTGTTTGTTTTTTTTTACATTGCTCCTCATCAACAGGTTGCCATGGAAATTCCAGCTAGGGAAGCCACTCTTAAGAGCGTGTTTTGAAGATATTATACATCCCGTCCTATGCTGTTCAGTGTTTATCGTGGCAAGCTTTTTTTATTTTTAATCTTTAAGTGTGAGATTATGTTACTGATATAAAAGATTAATTTGAGATCTCTACACATCTATGTCAGGGGTACAGATTAATACAGCTGGCAACCTCGGATATTTTTCCAAAATGAATTATTTTCTTGCACCAAATAATTGAAAGTGTTCTTAGTGCATAAACGTCCCAGAACATAAACACTAACAGTCCTGACAGGTGCATCTCAGTAAATTATTAAATTAAGTTATCATCCAACATTTAGTGTATGTCTGTAATTCAATTCACAAATGGAAACTCATCCATATAAAGAGATTCATTACACACAAAATGATATATTCCAAGCTTTTACTTTTGTTAATTTTCATGCTTATGGCTTTCAGCTTCTGAAAAGCCAACTTACAGAAATATTATCTAAAACAGATTTTCCATATAAATACATGATCATGGATAAGACTGCTAAATTGACAGCTGTTCTGCAGACACTCAGTGACTCCCTCGGCAGCAAAAGAAAGTCACAAAGGATCGTTGCTAAAGACATTGACTGCACTAAAGACAGAGCGCCACAGCCAAGCATATTAAGGGAAAGCTTAGTGGAAGGAAAAAGACTTGCAGATAAAGATGGAGAAAAGATGAGTTAAGTTTGTGAAAAAAATAATTTCTATGAGATTGTGAGGTGCACCTGTGTTGTGAACCATTATTCTGATAGACAATACATTTTGCACATATATTACTTAGACTGATTTTGCACATACATTATTTAGACTGATTGTGGGTCAGACAGCTAACAAGAAAATGTCACAGCATATAGCGGATTGCTAATCTGGATATCCTAATCTGAGGTGTGCAGAGGTTTCACTTCTCTGATTGTCTGCAGTCAATTTACTTGCAGATTCAGTGCCGTGAACACCGCTACGCATTCAGAAATGGCCCTCGGATGGAAAAATGTTGCACCCTCTGAGCGAAGATAAGGTTTACGGTTTGAATGTGTTTTTTTTTTCTATCTTAAACAACCCGCTGCGCCGGTTTCTTCTCCTCCTCTGAAAAACAGATATCTCGGATAGTGCGAGTATTAGACTTCTGTGGCACAGCCTCGACTGTGTTGTTGGTTTTTCTCTCTTTGGGTGTGGTTTTACTGCCAGCCGCTGGAAGAAAGCCTACAGGAGGTGTTTCTGTCCAAGCCCGCGCTGTACACAGGGCAGCTTCTGGTTGCAAAAGAGGTCACTCCTAGTCACTCCCTGCAGAAAATGGATAGACGCATTTAGACTTCCACTCACGCCCATGTACAGTATGTTCTGTACATACAGGCAAAACAACAAAGATGTGTAATTAGAGCATGTGCTCAGACAGACACTTGGCTGCTTGGGTGGGGTGGTCCTCAGAGATGGGCGTTTTAAATGCTGTCTATCTGCTCCCATGGAGAGCAGAGGGAAAAAAAAAATAGACGGGCGAAAGGATAGGAAAAACAAAACTTGCACAAAAGGGTGTGGATGTTGATGGATATTGAAGATGTGTGGCACTTAAACACACACATGTATGCACACATACACAGCTCAGCACCGCTTCTAATAGGACCAAACAAGGAAATAGTGGGGGTGGAGGGAATCAGTGCTGCGTCTCGGGTGTGGTTGATGTAGTGGGCCAGCAAGACAATTAAACCATTTAGCTATTTTTACATAATAAGACTTAATGTTGAAAAAGTGAAATATCCAACAGCACGTTGGATAAAACTGTGATGAACTGCTGACCTATGTTGGGTGTACCCTGCCTCCAGCCTGATGACTGCTGGAAATAGGCTCCAGCTCCCATGCAACGCTGCAAGGACAAGCGTATGGAGATGGACGATATTTGGATGGGTAATAATTTTGAATGCATTAGAGATGTTAAGCCTAATGCCAGTTTGCTGAAAAAATTGCAAACACAAGCAATCTTGGTATCTTTCTAACAAATATATGTCTGTGTAAACCAGGTACATCTTTTAATAAGGTTGGGTCTTGGGGCCACGTCTTTATCTGTATGTATATAAGGGATTTGAACTCCATATTACTGACTGCTACTTTTCCTTTTCATGCGAAACTACCTCCTGATGCATTCTGTCAAATCGCCTCTTTACCAGGCATCATGTCCCACCTTAAACATTACTGTAATATTCAGTAAAACTTTGTGAAACTCCAAATTAAATTTGAATACAAAAAAAAAAAAAACACAATCTACATAGATGATTTTGTAACTGAGGTCTCTGAAGATTTCTTCTGTTGCTGTCCTTTGCAGAATGTGTTAGAAATCAAACAGTTGGTACAAACTCCTGTCATCTAACTGACTGAATCTGGTCTTCTTTCAAACTAAGAAAACATTAGTATCAGCAACTTCCTCGTCTTCCGTTGACTATGCTGCTGCAATTGACATAAATGCTTCGTCACATTGCTATGCTTTTGATATAGCTTATTATGTGTCAAGATACGTAACAAATATATTAAAAAATGGACTCATCAATGTGTTTGAGTATTGAGTCTCCTTCGTATTGGCACACTGGTTCATCTGACCCATCACAAATAACATCTTATGATGTGCTAAAACTGCAGGCAATCATCAAATTCATTCACATAAACAGTTGTTGTTAATCATACTAACATTCTTGTATTGATTTGTGGAAAAAACTATTCCAACTTTCTGGCTCAAACTTGTGAAATGCAGTCCGATATCAGCAGCATTCGAATCAACTAGTGTCAGTGAGAGCACTCGAAGAACTGTGAGCATCAATATTACTTGGAATATAAATGTTTTAGCTGATGAGTTATCCAATAACTGATCTTAAATCACAAGTGTTTTTCTCTTTGGTTTTATTGATTGTATTTTATTATTTAAAGTTCTTCATGTATATTTTATATACCGATTCGATTTTAGTGGCTTTTTGATTTGCTGTCAACTTGGCCTCGTCACTCCTAAGTAATATTTTAGATTGTAAGTTTTTTTTTTTCTTTTTTGTTAAACATTGTGTGAATAAACAGATCCCGCTTAACTTTAAAGTCAGCATTGTTCTCTTTAAGTTCTCAACACAGACGTATAGAGACACACACACACACACACACACACACACACACATACTCTCCTGTGCAAACGCGCACAACGCAGGTTAGCCACCCGCTTTCAGTGAGGGTGGCTACCCTTTTCTTTCACTGCTGTCTCCCTGTCTCCGGCAGGAGGTTTCCATGGAAACAGGGCTTGACTGGAAACAACAGGAGCGAAAGAAAGAAATCCGGTGCTCTGCCCACCTCTCCACCACTCCTCCTTTGTGTCCGTCGTTCAGAATGACCCCCCCACACACACACCAAGCCCTCCCCCCCCACCTTTCGCTCTCCCCCCTTCCAAGTGATGCATTTCGAACTAATTACAGGTTTTTGACGGGGCTGCTGACCACTCTGCATGTCTTCATCCGTGACAAGAGCACAAAACCTTTAAAAGCAAAAGTCCAGCAGAGTTGAGCATTATTTTTTGTGCGCACCCCCCCTTTTACCACCGCCCACTCCCCCCCCCCAGCCCCTTCAGTAATAACACCATGTCTGCTCCTAACTCAAGACCATTATTATGAACCATTATGGCCACAGTCTCAGCTGAGAGGGCAGAGGAGGTGAAGTCCTGATAGCTTATAAAAGCTCAAAGCTTCACAGCAGCTAGACATTAGTGAGCAGCACTGTATATGTATCACCATATATGCTCTGTCTGCTGGGTGTTTTATCTCCAGACAGAAAATCTTTGCCATGTTATTTCAGGATTGATTTTTTTCTTCTTCTTTTTTTCCAGCTTAATTGTGAAATTGCTCCAATCCTGCAGATTTTAGCACCTTTCCTTTGACAAGTACTCAACAGCACGTCTGTATTTATGTATTTTTTTTTTTTTTTTTCTTGACAATGATTTCTGGAGTACTCCAGGATGTTCCCTGCTTGTGTCCATGGAGACAGAAGGGACAGTATCTCTGTGAGCTTTGGCAAAGAATCTGAATTTCTGCTCAAGGACAACTTGGCACGAGGATGTAACTTTTTCATATAGCTCCACAAGTTTGATTTCAGATTTTGCAGACGTTTGATCGTTTTACGTTTCAGATCTTACCGATTCAAAGAGTCATGCTTCAGTGACTTGAGACTTTTTTTTTTCTTGAATCCAGTAAATTAGATAGATGTGTCAGTGACTTGAAGAAGCATTAATACTGCTTGAATCTTTTCACATTTTGTCAGATTTTATTTGACGTTTGTGTGACAAACCAACATTAGTGCAAAATTCTGAAATTTTGAAGGCCACCATTTGTTGACATTACAGATGCAAGTTTTTCTTAATTTGTCTGTGCAACAAATGTGTCGTGTTTGTTGCCATGTAGACTAAAACTCTTGCCATTTTTCTCAAACTGTATGTAATTTGATGGAGAGTGTCTGTGAGCATAGTTAGTTTTTCCAAGTCTTTCTAAAGCATCTCTGTTATGGGTCTGTTCTAACATACGACTATACTTTATTATAAATCATTGAATTTCACTTCCAGCTGTATGTTTTAGGTCATTAGAGATTCTGACTAGTTTATCTCCATCATCTCCAACCAGTTTCTCTGTCCCTGCATAAATCTATTGCTACCATCATTATGTTTCACTGCTGGAAGCATAATGATGTTTTTACCTATGCCTGTTGTCTTAGGTAAAAAGTATTTTTTTTTGTCAGATGTGATCAAAGCATCTTCCACATCTTATTTTTTACACCCTACAAGGTTGCAAATTGGACTTCTTCCACCTGTGGAAGTGGGCGAACAGCGAACACACCTGTTTGCTGCTTTTCTTGGTCTTCATGATGCTGGCTGTTTTCTAATGTTCTCTAATAAGCCTGAGGCTTTGACTAAATACATTGTTACATTGACATTTCAGGATGTATAATGTGACAATCTCGTGATTTTCAGTGGGAATGAACATTTTTGCAAGGACAGGCGCTCAATAGAATGATGGTCATGCATGCATTCTCTTGTTAGATTTATTAAAAAAAATTTTTGCACTGGCACAATGATACATTCATTTAATGTTTCCACAACTGCACTAACAGCCAAATAGTGCTCCACCCCTTTTCTTATCTCCCAGAGTTTAGGCTAGTATAGATTATATGTGTGTGTATTTTTTCATGCGCTCTCTTTATTCTGTGAGTGTGCAGCCGCTGGGTTTAGTGTCATGGTTGGCTGCTCTGTCCACAAGTTGGGCACTGGAAATATACCAGGACTGAGCGCTCTGCAAAAGGCGTACATATTCTATTTGACAGTGATAAAAATGACTGGATGTGTTTAAACTGAAAGAAATTGAATTATTTCATTACACTTAATAATGCTTTTCAGCACAGACGATGTGATCTGGCTTATAAGTTTACAGCACGGGTGTCATGTGTCTGACTCCTGTGTGTGTGTGTGTGTGTGTGTGTGTGTGTGTGTGTGTGTCCCTGCAGTACACACAGACCCCAACGGCCTGTCACCGAGGCAGATCAAAAGTGACAGCGATGACGATGACCTGCCGAACGTGACCCTGGACAGCGTTAACGAGACCGGCTCCACGGCGCTGTCTATAGCCCGGGCTGTGCAAGAGTGAGTATCGCTGTCTCGTTTGATACGTGCCGTGCAGAGCTCTGCAAAAGCTGAAGGTGAAGTCAGTTTAGCAGGTTATTTTTTTGTTGTTTTTGGAAGGAAGAGAGCGGGCAAAAGAGCAAACAGCCACAAAGGAAGTTGAGCCAAGATAGTGGTGACCTCAGAACGAACTTGCCCAGACTTGCCTGCTGTTGTGACCCTTTTTCCAACTGTCTTTGCAAAAGAGGTGCATCACATCCCTCACAGTTTCTTAGCAACCAAAAGTTATTAAAAATGTTTCTAATGAAACCATTTTAACATCGTATAGAGGAGGGCTTACAGATTTGTTAGAGGCTTTCCGTCAAGTATCCTAAAATTGCGTTGGTGTCAAATGTAATTTTCTTTTGACCTTTTTTTTAATCAAATAAATAGTGCCTTCTGGTGTTTGACATAAAATGAACACGAGCAATGAACCGTTTTGTTTTCCTTTGTGACTTCTACTCCCCTTTTCTTTCAAATTACATTTTTAACTCCAGCCTTTAAGGTGAACTTTGACCGTCCCTCGCTGGTCGTCCATTCTAACAATAGCTTTTCACAACTTCAATAACAACAACAACATTGTAGCACAGAGAGTCTATTGCATCACGGTTTCTGTCTTTTTGAACCCGGTGTTTCTTCATGCCACATTCCTAGAGTGCGTGGCATCAAGTGTGAGAGAAATGGATCAGAGAAGGAAGAGATTCATTTCACTGGGCTTCAAAATTCAAAAGAGAGTACACCCTGTGTAAATTCTAGGGTTTCATGTGCTTTCTTTGGCTCAAGTTTTAGGGTGTACTTAGTTTTTTGCAAACCTTTTCACAATGGCCCCGCTTTTGCTTCGGAAATTTTGACTTGACATGCAGTGTGTGGTAACAGATTTTGTACAATTGAACTAGATAATTACATAACTTTGTACAATAAAATCCTAAAGCTGCTTTTATCATTTTATGTCTAGAGCTGCATTTCTGTTTCAGAGGTCTGACTCCTCGGCTCTCTTCCGCTGGGGTGTGTGTTTTATAAATGGTGGTAGACTCACACAAATTAGTCGACATTAGTTTTCAGTAATTAGCCTCGGTTTACAACATTACAACCAAGTAGAGATTGCACTGATAAAACACTTGCGGCAGATTTTAAATGGTTGAGATTTCTCTTTAAGACGTGCACATTTTCTTGTTTAATTTGGTGAAAGTTCATTGAAATTAGAAATTTTTTATATATTAATAAATTTATATATATATATATATATATATAAACTACTTTTTTGGGGGGTCTTCAAACATTGACAATAGTTTATTGTGTTATTTGATATTTGTTACAAAATACAAAACATCATATCTGAAATTCTGACTTCACAAGTCAAAATTTCACTATATCTAAAGATACGTCAAAAATATTGAATGTAGGCCTTTTAAGCAGTTTATCAGCACACTGTGTTAACTGTAACTACAAACAGTATGGCTAGCTTCACTAAATGCAAACACTACTCTCCGTTTGTTCATTCATATTTAATGCAGACCGTTAGCCTAGCTTTATGGTTTCCAAAAAGATGGTTAATGATAGAAATACTCCTGCTTTAACATGGTTACCCTTCCAGGTATGTTGGAGTCACCTCCAGGTCAAGTTGCTATTTTTAGGCAAAATCTTACCAAATAGCTGACTCACTTGGCTTCCTTTTGTTGCTAAAGAAGTTCTGTGTGAGACAAGAAAAACTAAAAGGCTATGTGTTGTTATGTACCAAACCAGTGAGCTTTATACCAGTAGCAAAATGACAAACACCGGTCAAAGTCTAGGTCTGTTGTAGCAGCCTGAGTGAACAGCTAACGTATCTTTCCGTAATGTACAACTTCATTTTAGATTACAGGTTTCGTGCTTGTGTTCAACATAATGTTTTAACTCCTCAAATGGAAACCGAAAAGAGCTATCTGTGAGTTTTCTTCGCTCAGTACCAGCAACCACACTCAAAAGCGTTGTGCTGTCTAGTGGCACTGAGTTTGTTGCATTCACTGATCAGAAAAGACTGAATTTCTGAGTTTCTGAGCATCCAGAAGCCGATTTTGATCATCAGACAATTTATGGTTGCATCCCTTGAATAAAGAGACAGTTTTTTTTCCAACAGGATTTTTTTTTTTTTCCATAGGAATTTTATCTTCGCAGGACACGGAAACTTGAATTTCCGTAGAGTTGTTGAGCATTTGACTTGCACAAAAGAGAAATATTTCCAAGAAGACTAAAAGATCATACATGTCAAACACGTCTGGCACGCTTAAAAGCAACAAAAATATGTACGTAAAGAGGTACCTCGGTAGCTTAAACGTTTTCCTCGATGACCTGTTGTCGGAGCTTTAACTTCACGACCTGCTGCTCGAGTGCTCCTCTACTTTCCGACGCATCTGTGTGGGTGTGAATCTATAAGACTGTGTGCATATGGCTCAGACATCAGCTCCTGCGGTGCCAGTCCATCTGTGTCGAAATGAAAAGACTTCCTCTCCAGTGGATGACAGCTTATAACATTCTGATCCAAAGCAGGAAATCAGAAGCATTCAGACGCACTTGGCTTGGTCCCGCCATCCGCCGCCGCTGCCCAGAAACCCTGAACAGTCAAAACTTTGAACGTACTCAAACTCCAGGAGGATTTTTGTAGAATTAACCGTAAGGAAATTACTGGAGGAGGGAGGGAAAATTCGACTAATGATGCAACATCATTAGCAAGGCTGAAGCCCAGCTTGGCTTGTTTTTTTCATGGTAATGCTCCAGCTTACAGGGTCGACATTTGTTTGTACACTAGCTCTATTAAAACGTACACTAATTAAACCAAATGAGCTTTTGTGCGACACATTAGGCTTTTAAAAAAAAAAAAAAATAGCAGGGTCACTTTGCTCAGAAGTAGAGGTTGCCATTTCTCCGATGCACGCAGGGACTCACTCTAGGATTCGGGTTTCAGCGCAGGTTATTGAAAGGGACAGGCGTGCCCCAGAGTGCCACACGTGGGCACTGGCTTGGTCAGAGGACAACAGAGGTTGGCAGAACCCAACCTTGCACTGCCCAAGCTTTCACTATGGAGATAAATCACCACCCTGGATAAGCAATACCCTGCCAGGGCCTGCCCACACGCTCACTTCTCTATGTGCAAAGTGCAAGCTGTGTGGAAACTGTGTGCATGCTGTGTGTATACGTGTATGCATGTGTGTGTGTGTGTGTGGGGGGGGGGGGGGGTTAAAAAAGTATGCGCACACACTTGTAAGTATTAATCCCCGGCATATGTGTGTGTTCTGTGCCGTTTGATTGCACGTGTCTCTGCACGGTGGACGGAACAGCTGGTTCCAGGGGGTGGTCGGCCATTGTCAACAGGAACACAGACTCGCGTGTTTGTCTGCGAAAAACAAAGCAGTCTGCTGCGTTCTTGAGTTACACGCCGGCCTGGTGACAGGAAAGGAGAGAGTGTGCGCTGCGTTTTGACACAGCACACGAGCTCCCTGGACATCTTCACAGCAACCGAAGCCAGAATTTTACTCCGCCGTGTCGCTGTGTTTCCTGTTTTCCACACTTTTATAGCTTTTTTTTTTTTCTTTTTTATATGCTTTAATTTGGCCCCCGCGTTTACACAAGCGGCCCCGCTCAGAGTGCGTCAGGGAGGAGAGGTGTTAGGGTGGAGGATGGGAGTGCCTGCAGCCTCCAATCCAGGTATCCATAAATAAATAACTGAGTGAAAGGAGAGAGTTACGGTGTGTGTGAGTGGATCATGCTCTTCTAGGGCAGCCTCCTCCATATTCATGCGTTTCCTTGGGGACGGCTGGATGGGCTATTGTGGAAGAGCCAGGGTGAAAGAGGGAGAAGGAGAGAGACAGAGAAGTGTGCGACCGCGTGCGTGTGCGTTTGGGAGGAGTAGCCTCTGCTGAAGCCTGGCCGGTCCCCAAGGACCCAGTGGCCACGCAACAGAGCAGGTGGACTGTTGAGACGTGGGGTAAGTGTCCTCCGACAGGTACGGGAATGCCGGGCGGCCTGTCTCCCAAGGCACACATCGAGTCAGACGCTCCTTTTTTTTTTTTTTTTTTTTGTTTCCCTGAAAAATCCACAACTCTCTTTGAAAAGCAGTTTTGTGTGTCAGAGCTGTTTTGACCTCAGCTGCCCGTGAAAAACAGGCGCCGTATTTGGGTTGTGAGTATTCAGGTGACAGGTGAGGAGATGACGGGGGTGTAGGGAGGGGGGGAGGGGGTGGTGGAAAGGTTGGAGAAGCAGATGAACTAAAGCAGAGGTCAGTTCTGTTTGAAATCAGTTTCATCTGCACTTCCTATTTTTCCCTCTTCTGCTTTGAGCGATGCAAACAGACACATCCATTCGACCAAAAATGTTACTCTGACACAAGTTTGGAAGCAGCGAGAGTTTGCCTCTGGAATCTCATAAGAAAATAAATCAAATTTGTGTTCCAAAAGAGCTGCGATTTGACTAGAGTTTGAGACGGAAATAGAAAGACAATTATATGCAACTTATTCTTGCGTACGCTGCTTCGCCAAAGTATTAACACCCCTTGAACTTTGTCACTTTTTTTTTTTTTTTCACGCTCCATCCACAAACATCACTGTATTTTGCTGGAATCTTATTATTTAAACCGAAACACTGTGACTGTTAAGCTTTTTCCTCCGTGATTTGTTTACCTCTGTGCATCTTGCCATCAACTCTGACCAGTTGCTGATGGAGAAAATCATCCACGCAGCATGATGCTTCCACTACCATGAAGATGGTGTGTTCAGGGTGCGGTTTTAGATTTCCCCTCCACCACAGTGTTTTTGAATGTAGGCTAAAACGTTTAGGCTCATGTGATCCACATGACTTGTGACAAACTGTAAACTGGACTTGTTTTCTTTCAACGGCTTTCTTTTAGGCCGTATTTGCAGATTAAACTAGCAGCAATAATAGTTGAACCGTTGACACATTCTCCTACATGAGTTGTAGATTTCTCTAGCTCCTCCAGAGTTCCCCTTGGC